TTGTCGTTTGTTGATTTGTTGATGATAGCCAGTCTGACAGGTGTGAGATGGTACCGCATTGTCCTTTTGATTTGTATCACTCGGATGATTAGTGACTTGGAGCATGTTTTCATGTGTCTCTTGGCCTTCTGTATGTCCTCTTTCGAAAAGTATCTATTTAGGTCCTTTGCCCATTTTTTTATTGGGTTATCTTCTTTTTGTTAAGTTGTATGAGTTCCCTGTAAGTGTTGGGGATTAAGCCCTTATTGGTGATAACATTGGCAAATATGTTCTCCCATGCATTGAGCTTTCTTGTTGTTTTGTTGATGGTTTCCTTTGTTGTGCAAAAGCTTTTTATTTTGATGTAGTCCCATTTGTTTATTTTCACTTTAGTTTCCATTGCCCTAGGAGCTGTATTAGTGAAGATATTACTTCGGCATATGTCTGAGATTTTGCTGCCTATGGATTCCTCTAGTATTTTTATGGTTTCCCATCTTATGTTTAAGTCCTTTATCCATTTTTAGTTTATTTTTGTGTATGGTGTAAGTTGGTGGTCTAGTTTCATTTTTTTTGCATGTATCTGTCCAATTTTCCCAACACCATTTATTGAAGAGGCTGTCTTGACTCCATTATATCTTCATGTCTCCTTTGTCGAATATTAATTGAGCATAGTGGTTTGGGTCAACTTCTGCATTCTCTATTCTATTCCATTGATCTCTATGTCTGTTCTTGTGCCAGTACCAGACTGTTTTGAGAACAGTGGCTTTGTAATACAGCTTGATATCTGGTATTGAGATCCCACCTACTTAGTTCTTCTTTCTCAGGATTGCTGCAGCTACTTGGGGTCTTTTTTTATTCCAGACGAATTTTTGGAAAGTTCGTTCTAGGTCTGTGAAATATGCCGTTGGTATTTTAATGGGGAGTGTATTGAATCTATAGATTGCTTTGGACATTTTGATGATGTTGATTCTACCAATCCATGAACACGGTATGTTCTTCCATCTGTTTATGTCTTCCTCTATCTCTTTTTTCAGTGTCCTGTAGTTTTCCGTGTATATGTCTTTTACCTCCTTAGTTAAGTTTATTCCTAGGTTCTTAATTTTTTTGGTGTGATGGTAAATGGAATTGCTTTTTCAGTCTCTCTTTCTGTAAGTTCAATATTGGTGTATAGAAATACCATAGATTTCTTGGCGTTAATTTTGTATTCTGCTACATTGCCGAATTCATTCATTTAGTCTAATAATTTTTTGAGGAAGTCTTTAGGGTTTTCTATGTACAGTATCATGTCATCTGTGAATAAGGACAGTTTTACTTCTTCTTTTCCAATTTGGATGCCTTTTATTTCTTCTTCTTGTCTGATTGCAATGGCTAGTACTTACAGTACTATGTTGAACAGGAGTGGTGGGAGTGGGCATCCCTGTCTTGTTCTTGTTCTTAGGGGAAATGGTTTTAGTTTTTGCCCATTGAGTATGATGTTGGCTGTGGGTTTGTCATATATGGCTTTTAGTATGTTGAGGTATGAGCCTTTTATTCCCACCTTGCTGAGAATTTTTATCAAGAAAGGGTGTTGGATTTTGTCAAATGCTTTTCTGCATCGGTTGATATGACTGTATGATTTTTATCTCTCAATTTGTTTATGTGATGTATCACGTTTATTGATTTGCAGATATTGTACCATCCTTGCATTCCCGGGATAAATCCTACTTGGTCATGCTTTCTGATGTACTCCTGGATCTGAATTGCTAGAATTTGTTGAGGATTTTGGCATCTATGTTCATGAGGGATATTGGCCTGTAATTCTCTATCATTGTGTTGTCTTTACCTGGTTTTGGTATTAGGGTGATGCTGGCTTCATAGAATGAGCTTGGAAGTGTTCCTTCCTCTTGAATTTTTTGGAATAGTCTGAGGAGGATAGGTTTTAATTCTTCCTTGAATGTTTAGTAAAACACCCCTGTGAAGCCGTCTGGCCCTGGGCTTTTGTTTGCTGGAAGCTTTTTGATGACTGCTTCAATTTCCTCTGTAGTTATGGGCCTATTGAGATTTTTAGATTCTTCCTGATTGAGTTTTGGAAGGTTGTATTTTTAACCAAGTTTTCTTAAAGTGAATTGATCTTCCAGGGGAACTTAAAGAATAGAAATGGTGCTAGCATGCCAGATGGGTTAGTGGGAGGGTTCTCAAAGGATGTGAGAGTAGTATAACAAAATCAGATGAAAATGGGAAACAATAAGAAAGAAAACTATTCAATAGAGACAGATTAACTTTTTAAAAATGCCACTGTTCATATGGAAATAAACTGCCCATGTACGTTTCTAAAAGCCTCTATCTAAAACTAGTACTTTTTAAAAATTAGCAATTATGATTGCCAATTAAGGTCTTGGTTCTCTAAAAGTAATGACTTCATGATCAAAAAAATAGTGACATGGACATCATTGAAGTATTTTTTAAAGAAGTTATAATAGTTAGGATGTCAGTTACATTGGCCTTCAAAATTTTTATTAGTAAGCAAGTTGTGCAGTTTTTGTTGAACTGGTTTAGAAGTTCCTTATATCTCTGCTCCTCAAAATTATCAACTCATTTCATCGCATTTAGATTTGTTCCCTATCAAAAGCTGCTGAGGAAACATTAGTGCTCAGAGCTGTTTATATTTGTAAATGCAACTGAAATTGTAGAGCCAGTTAGAAACCTCTAGAATCTCTGAAAAAAGCAATTGTTTTTTTCTCTTATATTAATTCGAACTGATGAGGTGGAAAAATAACAAAATAACTTCAAGAGTTTATAAAATGGCATGTATATTGGATACAAATTAAGTGGCCTACTTCCATTTTCTAGATTAAAAAGTAATTTGTTCAGGTATCTGAAGTAGTCAATGCATTATATTTTTTTTAACTTTTTGTGTCCTTTGCTACTGCATGGGATTTTTAAACTACGTTTATATAGCAGATATTTTCAAAATGAACTTCAAAACACAGTCAAGTTTTAAATTTTTAGTGAGCTAAAAGAAGAGGTACAGATCTGGATGAGCAAGCTGTGGTTTACATAAAGCAACCTTTTAAAATCCTCAGTATATGTAAATTTCTGTTGAAGTACGTAATTGAGTAGAAGTTCCTGATTTTGTTGGCAGGTTGACTGATGCCACAGCAATGGCATCTCTGTATCAGTGCCACTCATCGGTTCTTCAGGCTAATGGCCCATCAGACTGAATGTAGGAGCAAGTTCACGGGAAGATGCCTCTGTTAACCTCGGGCAGCCTGGCAACACTGCCCTCCCGGTTCCCTGGCTAGAATGGGCAGAAAGCCTCATTTCAGTAGACCTTGAATGATACTGGGTAATAAGTTTTGGGTTGTTTGTTTTTTTATATGATTTTAATTTTCCTTCATTCATTTAACTACTTTTTCTGGAGTGCTCATGTGTGCCAGGCACTGTGGCATTGAGGATGCATGTAAAACAGATAGGGACCCTTTCTCACAGAACTTACTACAGGAACTGACGGCAGGTGAAGAGGCAGTTGGAGAATCCAGTATTAAACTGGTAGATGTGTTGGTCAGAAAAGGTTTCTTAGAGGCAATGAGAACTAGACAGGAGATGATCCAGACAGTGTAATGGGAGTGGTAATGGAGTGAAGCAGGATTTGAATTGTTGTATTACTAGATGTTATGGGGCAAAATCTATTCAGATGGGCAGCAAACCACCTCAGAAAGTTGGGGGAGAGGTGAGGAGCTGCCACGGAGGATGCCAGGTTTCTTCCTTAAGTGGCTGGTGATGGCAGGCTCAGGAAGAGGATCTGGGTTTGGGGGTTGGGTAGTGAGAATGAAGGAAGAGGAGTTTATTAAGCAGGATGAGTTTGAGAAGCTCACCGGACATCTAAGTGGAAATGTACGCCGTATCAGAACTCTTGCCATGACACTTTTTTTCTTCATGTCTTTTTTAGGGGATTTTTCTCCTGAATGTCTGAAAGAATCTGAAATATTAGTCACATATATGTATTTTCACAGTAAATTGAATACGGTGGTTCTCTGATTTGCTGTTCATCTCAACAGATTACTTATGTGCCCATTATGATGTAGGTAGCTGGGTTCCTAGCATTCATTTGGGGATTTAAGCAAAAGTTAAAAGAAAAATTACTTATGGAGAAAGAAAGTTATATTACATTAATTACTAAGAAGCAATATGGAATAAGAAAAGCCTTAACTTTTAAAAGCCCACATTATTTTTTAATAGTACACATCTGTTACATTGACCTGTTGTTAAAGCTCTGGGGTACATTAGGAAATTTATTGTTTCATATAATTTTTAATACAATTTCTGAAGTTTCTAGATAAATTTTTAAAATTTAACAGCAAAATTACTTTGTATAGCCTAGTTTAGAACCTAGAACCCTTTTTATATGCTAAAGAATTTTTTTTTATATTGACTTGAAGGAGACCTTTGTAATTTACTGTTTAGATCCAACCAAATCATTGCTACATGGATTAGAGCTGTGGCAATGGAATGAGAATGAGACCATTTACTGTTTGGGCAGGGACTGGCCAGTCATCTTTTGGCAACAACACCTAACAGAGTTTATAGAGCGTGAGGAAGCTCTTTAGTAAATTTTCTGAAGATAAAAAAGTAGGCGGGTTTCAAGTTCTTTCTATCTACTGCTATGTATCCTGAGCTGTAAGGATTAGAATCGAGTAGCAGAATACCGTAGAGCTACCTGTAATGTAAAGGCCAAGAGTCTGTAGATGTAAATTGCTGGTTCATTATTATTATTTTTTATATTGTATACAATAACGTACCTAGACTAATGTTAAAATTGAATCTTTTAAGTTCTTAAAAAGGCTTTGCTATTCATAGGAATTTAACATTACTAAATATATAGTTAAATTGAAGCAGAATTATTAGAGCATATTTTGTATTATTAATACCAATCTTCCTTAGAATTTTTCCCCTCATTTACAAACTATCAGTAACTCCGTGATTTACTAAGATTTGTAATGCAATTTAGAAAATGAAATTTTCTCATCTTGTTTTTTTTATAGGAATACCAAAATCTAATCTCTTGCACACCACATCATTAAGGGGCCATAAAGACTGCTTTGAAAAATACCATTTGATTGCAAACCAGGATTGTCCTCGATCTAAGCTTTCAAAAAATACTTATTATGAAGACGTTAAAGCCATTTTGAGTAAGAAGATAAACTGGATTGTACAGTACGCACAAAATAAGGATGTGGATTCAGATTCGGAGTGTTCTAAACCTCCCCAGCATCACCTGTTTAATTTCAGGCATAAGCCGGATAAAAAGCTCCTCCCACAGTTCGACTCCCAAGTACCAAAGTATTCCGCAAGATGGCTAGATGGAAGTACGGGTGGCCTCTCAGACTGTACACAAAGAATATTGCAGCAGAGGGAAAACTCAGACTTCGGGCTTGCTATGTTACAAGGGTCAGGTGCCACTTTGTGCCACAATAGTGTATTGTGGCCTCCTAGTCACAGCCAGACACAGAAGAAGGAAGAGACCATCTCTAATCCAGAGGCTAGTGTCCAGACCCAGCAGCCGCATTACAGCAGGGAGGAATGTAAGTAAATGGGAGAAAGGTGGAGGTTGGCATTTCATTGGGTGCTTTTTTTACATATTTACATATGGGATGTTTCAGGAATTTTGCTGTAGAATTATAGATTTGGTAAATAAAGTATTTAAATGATAATAAGTTCACCCCATAAAAAAATGGGGTGAGTTAAAACTCTCCATCAGCTCTCTGGAATACTCGTTAGTATGTCCTATGCATTAGAATTCTGCAGTACCATGATTTGTTTTGCCATTTAAATGATTAAATAAATGGAGTCAACAAACGGAATTAGAAAGTTCAGGCTTCACTTAATTTAGAAATAAAGCCTCAACAGTTGGCTCACACACATTGTCATATTGCTAATCCCGTCAAGATTAATTGACTGGGAGTGGCATTTCAAAAGCAAAAGTATGATATTTTACTGAAGGCCAACGGTAATGTGTTAGTTTAAAGGGGGAAAAGTGACTCATTCAGTCTGCATCTACAGAAACTCACAGAAGCTGAGATAATTTTAGTTGACTTAAATTATTTTAGAGCAAGAAGGGACCATGGGTATCTATCTATCTATCTATCTATCTATCTATCTATCTATCTACCTATCTATATATATAAAGAGCCAGGGGCCGTCACATCCAAAACAACCGAATGGACAACCAAACAGGCTGAGTGGGGCGACAAGGCCAGCACGGGGGTTAGTGAGGGATGACCAAATGACTGAGCAGCAGGATACGTGGGGCGACCAGGCCGGGGGCAGTGAGGGGCGACCAGGCTGGTAGAGGGGGGCAGTTGGGGGCGACCAGGCCGGCGGGGGGGAGGGGCGGGGAGGTTGGGCATTTGGAGGGACCAGGTTGACGGAGGTGGGGCAGTTGGGGAGACCAGGCTGGGGGTGGGCGGGCAGTTAGGGGCGATCAGGTCAACAGGCAGAGGCAGGGGTCAATTAGGGGTGATCAGGCAGGCAGGCAGGTGAGCCAGTTAGGAGCCAGCGGTCCTGGATTGTGAGAGGGATGTCCAGCAGTCAGACATCCCCCGAGGGGTTCCAGATTGGAGAGGGTGCAGGCTGGGCTGAGGGGACCCACCCCACCCCCATCCCCCCCATGCACGAATTTTGTGCACCGGGCCTCTAGTATTTTAATAAGACTTCTTGATTCTACATATCTAAGATTACATAACTAGATAGATAACTTCATTTTTCAGACTGTTTCCAAAGTTTCTAACTGGGGATCATGAACTATGTAGTGTTTAAGTAAAATTGACTTGATGGGTAGTGACTGGCACTTTTTAAAAACTGAAACAAAATGGAATATATCAGAATCCAGTGGACCTAAGTGCTTTCCAGTGAAACTTTTGTTGGGGGTGGGTGGGAGGGGAGTACTGGGATTGATATAAAATTTGTTTCTTCCTGTGGGTTGAGGTTAGGATTCGAAAACTCCACACTGCAGGAGTTAATGAATGAATCCGAGGATACTGCTGAACGTTATGTTGGCAGATAAGTACAAATTTTTAAAAATTAGGATATTGTGTTAGTGATGTAGGCAGCTGATTTTCCCAAATTGTTGTAATAATGAATATATTTTCATGTTTCAGTGAATTCGATGACTTCTGGTGAGGTAAAGCAACTGAATGCAAAGCTCCAACAGCGAATACAGGGTAAAGAATCAATGTCATTGTTTTTTTGCCGGTGAAAATTTTGACACAGAAAATCCCCTATAACAGGGTACCATTAGCTTCATCTGCAATTAAATTTGAAAATTGGGTTAGAACCTGTTAGAGTGGAAGTGAAAATGGAGACTACAACTTAAATCTCTACCTTCTTACTAATATTTTACTATTCAAGTGAACTCCATAACAGGTCTTTAAGGTATTAGTCCTGGCTTTGAACAATTTTAAACACAAAAATATTAAGAATAGCATAGTGAACTCCTTGACCCATCTTAATCAGCTTCAACTATTACAAAAAGCATAGCTAAATTTTCCTTCATCTCTGCTTTCACCCATTCCCTTTACCCCACCTCAAGCATCAATTATTTTTTTCAAATATATATATATTTGTTGTTGTTGTTGTTAATCCTCACCCGAGGATATTTTTCTATTGATTTTTAGAGAGAGTGGAAGGAAGGGGGAGAGACAGAGAAACATCGATGTGAGAGAAACATGTCGATTGGTTGCCTCCCACATGCAGCCCAGGGATCAAGCCTGCAATTGAGGTACATGCCCTGGGTCAGAATCGAACCCGGGACCCTTCAGTCTGCGGGCCGACGATCTATCCACTGAGCCAAACCAGCTAGGGCAGCTAGTGATTCTTTAACATCATGAAATACGATGCTAATATCAATAGTTTAATAGTTAGTGTTCAGAATCCCCAGTTGTCTCTTTTCCTGTTTTTGCAATTTATTCCCATTTTGGTGAAGAAACTACACTTCAGGGACAGTTAAGTTGCTTACAGAGATCATGCATTCATTCAGTATCAGATTCTAACTCCTGTCTTTACAACTCCAAAGCTAAGTGGTATTTCTTGACCACACATTCTCTCAGAATAATAAAATAGTAATAGTAATAGCAACATACATTTGTCAAGTACTTCTTCTGTGGTAAGTGCTTTCCAAGTATGACCTATTGAATCCTCACAGTAACCCTATGAAGGTCCTACTCTCATTGAGTTGATACATAAGGGGAAATGAAAGCGTAGTTTATAAGTTACTTGCCTGAGACTCTTGAGAGAAGGAACAAGAATTAAATATCCCAGGCAGTCTGATTCCAAAGCCTCTTAGAGGGGTTTCCAGACCTAGGCATTAATGTGCACTTACTTCCCATAAGTCATGTTGGATACTGACTGAACCCGTTTCTCTTTCAAATTGAGAAGAGTGTCTCAGGTAATAGTGACTCCCGTTCCTGTTCCGCATCTATATAGTCATTGCTAATGACACTTAGGTTTCACCTGGTGGAGGAGAGGAATACCCTGTTCCAGCTGACTATGCAAAGTATGCAACACCCTGTGATCAAACAGTTGTTTCCTTTGTGTCAAATCACTTTTTTTCCCTTTCTTTATCCTCGCCTAAGGGTATGTCTATTGATTTTTAGAGAGAAAGGAAGAGGGGAAGAGAGAGAGAAACATCAATCGATTGCCTCCTATATGCGCCCCAACTAGGGATCGAACCGCAACGTAGATACGTGCCCTGACTGGGAATTGAACCCACAACCCTTGGTGTATGGATTGATGCTCCAACCAACTGAGCCACCCAGCCAGGGCGGTATCAAATCACTTTAATTGCAAACATTCACCCAATGCGTGTTAAAGTACTTGAAGTATAAATCATAGGGTTAGCTTTCTGTCTACTCAAATGGAACTTTTTAAATCCTTACAGAAGTTTTTGAAGAGTTAACACGCCAAGTGCAAGAAAAAGATTCTCTGGCCTCAGAGCTCCATGTCCGCCACGTCGCCATCGAACAGCTTCTCAAGAACTATTCCAAGTTACCATGCCTGCAAGTGGGGCGAACGGGAATGAAGTCCCACCTGACATGAGCAACGGAATTCAACTTGCACTCACTTCCTGTGCCCCAGCACTTCCTGGTCAGCCACTTGCAATGTGGTCATTAAGTCTGCAGAACTTCAAGGCAGTATTGAACATCTTCGTTAGATAAAGCGGATCGTCACACTCTAGTCTTCTAGGGTTCGTCATTTTGGTTTATCTGGGGAATTTTTCCCCCCATAATTACTAAGTGGTCCTCCCTAACTTTTACCACATGTGACTATTTAAATATACTGTTACAGTGTGATTTTATGAAACATAGTTTAATGTAATTCACCTCTCAAACCAATAGAAGGTTAACAAACACCTTAGATTAGTCTGAACTACTAAAGATAAAACTTTTAAGAGGGAAGTTAAATTCATAATATCACCTCTTATTTATTATGAGCAATATTTTAATATGAAAATTTTATATATAAAAATGCTATTTTAGGTACCTTTCCATTCTCTTTATAAATGTGTATTTGAATGGCTCTGTGTATTATATTTACACTTTCATGTGTGAATATCTTACCCATGTTTCAGATCTTACTGCATTTTATTCTCTTACTACACTGCTTTTACAACTGTTACCTTGTTTTCCAAAGATAAATGTATTTTGGAGTAGAAATCTATCTAGTTGAATTGTTTGACTTCTGATAACTCTTATATGAGGAATTAATACCTTTTTAAAGCAAATATCCAAGAAAATAAAATATATAATTTTTTCCAACAAAAGCAGTTCTGAGTTTGTTCAGGAAGAAAATGCTAATCTAGCTTTTGTATGTCAACAAGTCTACATAGAAGTTAGAGCCTCTTCTGTTTCATTATTAGTTTCATGCTACTGACTTTGATGTGTTAGAATTTGGACAGAGTAAGTCAAGCCTCACTTGTAAGTCAAATGGATTATCTTCAAATTGAATATACTGTTAAATTATTGCCCTGTCTTTGAAAAAAATTAAAATTACTTTGTGTGCCACTTCAGATCAAAGTTCAAAAATCCTTGAACTGTCCAAATTCTGTATCACTGAAATTAGTGCCCCAAGAAAGCATTCTGGGGCATTTTTCTAAACTTTGGAATCTAAAGGGAAAGAGAAGATTGCTTGACCCAAAAAAACAAAACTCTAATTCAAAAAAAAGAAGCCCATTCTTTTTTCATTTCAGAGAAACAGAAACATCAATTTGTTTTTCCAGTTATTTATGCATTCATTGGTTGATTCCTGGGGATCAAACCCACAACCTTGGCGTATTGGGATGATGCTCTAAACAACTGAGGTACCCGGCCAGGGCTAGGAAGCTCATTTTTGAAAGGATTTTATATGTTGCCTAGGTTTCCAAAGAGCTCTGAACTAATGGCTGGTCTCAAACAGCTAGATACGTTTTTAATTTATGATAGTAAAACCCTCAACCAATGTAGAACTCAAATGGGCTCTAAGTTTCGTTTTCAGCTGGTGTTTAGAATGTGTTTATAAGGTAAGATCCTTTGCTTGAAAGAATCTACAGGAAAGCCCATAATTTGGTAGCGCCATGCATACAAAGATATAATGACTTCTGCCTTAAATTTGGCAGCCTGCCCTGACTTGGGTCAGATTTTAGTCGAACACAAACGCTATTTGACTAAAGCAAAGAAACACCTCAAACTATTGGAAACAACTTTTTATAATGCTAGAATGTCTTAAATTTGCCCAAGAGTACTGCTTGCTAATCATTAATTTTTGTTTTGTTTTCTTTGAAGTATGACATAACTGCTTTTTTGGAGGGAGCTTTTGAAAGATGCTTTCAATTTCTCTCAATTCTTTGAGTAATCCAAAATGAATTTAAAATTCAGGAGCGGGGACACGTTGCCTTAGTGTTTGATAAGCTTTACATTGAATACGTGCAATATCAAAATCCATAAATTTACAAATTAAATAAACCTTTTCCGGATGATGCCAGTAGGTATCTCAGTGCTTAGTTGTTTTGGTCACGTTTTCAAATTTGACTTGACTCTCTTTTGGCAGAATTCATTATGGGTGTTACCAGCCAGTGTGCTTGCACACATTTGTGCTTCTATTTAGATCACTTTGGGACAGCCATGAAAGTCTGGGATGTGTTGCATTTGATGGTAGTCGCATATTTCCGGAATGGAAGCCATATGGTGCGGCCCTGAACACAACAGTGCTATCCAAAGCAAGTATGTGCTTGCTTCTTAAAGCATTTCTGGCAAATGTGCAGGTTTACTGATGAGTTAGGACAATTAGATGGGATGATGCCTGTGCCAAGGTCTTAATTAGGGATTCTGATTTATCCCACTTAGATATTTCTATTTAAGGTCTTCAAGGGAAAGGTGCTCTTTAAAAATGTCTGTGGTGCTGGTACTCACACTAGTACTTTATTTGGATAAAATATTCTAGTAAAAAAAAAAAATTGTTATTTTGCACAGCAGTTTTTCCAAATATTTGATAAACTTATTTTCTATTCTAATGTTAGTTTTCTTGGTTGAATATGAAATTCCTATATATTTTAAAATAAGGCCAAGGGACACTAACCTTGAAAGACTGAAATTCCACAAATATTGGTTACCATACTTGGCTCTTCTTCTGTACAGTTGGTGGTACTTTCTGAGGAAGTTTAGGAGGAAATCTTACCTATACCTTCAGTTTCAAAAATGGCAAAAGAGGCAAGTTATCTGTTACTAATTTCAGAGCTTATATGGTTAAGGGGAGTGAAATAAGACTGATATTTTTTTATGTTATAGGTAATAATTAAACCAGTTTAATTCTGTTTTTAAAAAACCAGTCTAAAGTCAAAGTGGTTGTGACTATCCAAGATTATTCTCTTGATTGAAATTTTCAAATCCATTCAGCCTTTTGTCATCCTTTGGCCTTAGTATATATAATATCCTAATTTGTCTTATTTTTTTTTTTAGTCATGCACTTAAGACCCCAGTAATAGATGATGCAGTCAGCAGAATAGCATTTTTTAGTTTCTTATGCATAATGTTGGAGCAAAGAAATGCTCTTATTTTTTCAAATTATATGCTCAATTCACCACAAAGTGCCCATTTTTATATATACTTGAGGATTATTTTTAAAATAAGTTCATGTTGGAAAGTGGTTTCAGAGATAATAGTCAAAATATATTCTATTTTGTTGGCATCTTGAGATTTACTCGGGATTTTCATTTCACTATATTCTTTACCACTGAAGATGGTTTAAAGTGCTTGCTTTCTTTGTTTATGTGTCTTTACTTTGGAGTTTACATTTGAGTCTGTTTTTGGATCTATTTGTGTATGTTTGCCATTTTGGGTTTTGTTTTGATTTTTTAAAAGAAATTTTCTTGCATTATTGTAAAATGAAATACAAAATGTATGTGCTCTAAACTTTAGGAACTTTTAAAGGATAAATTATTTGTGTAGCTTAATAGGAGGTTCAGGTTAGTGACCATAAAATTAGGTTACATGACATGAAAACTTTTAAAGGGTATAGTGTAAAGTTATTATAGTGTTATTTTTCTGATTTGTGCCGGTGAGTTTACTGACAGATGTTATCGATTCTGCTAAGGTAAGATATTTGAGTATTTTCAAGTACTTAATAAGAAGTTTAGTACTCTTAAAAATTTCCTTAAATATATTTTGTTCAGATGTGGCTGTAAAACGAAGATAATTGATTTCATTTCAGTGTTTAATTGCATTTTTCACTTTAGGTTGGTGGGAATAATTATTTGAGAAAATTTGTGGCAAAAAATCCAGTACGAGACAAAACTCCACAGGTTATTCTTGCCAGGTTAAGTCTTTGGTGATGGGATGAGAGAGGGCTGACTTACCTGAATACTGAGGTAACGGGGCTCTGGCACAAGTACAGGTATCTTGGAGGAGGAATATAATACTGTGTATGGAATAACAAGGTTTGTCTTGCGACTCAGTATTTTCATTCCCTTTGTCCTTTCCTAATTGTCCTTGCCATAAAGTAGTCCAATGTATTAAGCAATTCGGTCATGTTGCTGAAAACCACATCACCGCAAGTCTCTAGCATTGTTTTTTTTTTTTAGCATCTAGTTTGTAACATACTTTTTCTATCCTTTTTAGTTTATGAGTCCAGATTATGACTGCAGTTAGCCATACTAGCGTGAAACAAAATCATGAAATGAGTATCGTCCACCCTCTTACCCCCAAAAAGTGTTAGTTGAACTTCCCTCGCACGCACACAAGGCAAAGGGAATTTTAGTAAATATGTGTTTCTTATTTCTTTCAAACATGTAGAATGCTTATTTCCATTCTACTACCTTGAAAAGAGACAGTTTAGGAAATGTTCAGTAACAACTTCTGTTTTAAACCTATTCCCACTTTTACAATATGTTGTGTGTGTTAACCTTGCTTTAAGTCTGAGTAGCTTACACTATGGTCATTGAACTTAATCTCTGTGGTGTTAGAAATTTATTTCACAACATTGTGCTAAGACATTTGGAAAAAGAAAATTGAACTGCAATGATGAGAACCAACTTGGTTTTAAAGAAGTTTAGACAATACTTGGCTGTTACACTTTTCTTTAAAACTGCAATAATTTACATTTTTGTATTGCTCTACTTTGGAACTGTAACTACTTATGCTTGTCTACCATTTTTTATTTTATAACAATAAAATAAATATTTTGTTATCTGTTTCAGTGAATATTTTCAGTGAGAGCATTTTTTTTTTAATGGTTGACCTATATGGGGTGGGGAGGGGGGTGTTTTGCAGGCTTAAGAAATCTACACTTAGAATTGTTATCTAACAATTTCTTAATTTCTTATGAGAATCTTTCTTTGAGACTTAAATGAACATTCTCTCTGACCCAAGAGTCCAGACACAGGTAATAAATTCTTGTCACTTAGTGGATGTTTATGTAACTTTTTAAATTGGATTGTACTTTACATAACAATAAATACACAGATTTTAAGCATACTTGAGTTTTAACAAATGCATTACAACTGTATAACCGTCACCTGTTTCTACCCCTTTCCATCTCCTTACTCCCCAATCCCTTCCACCCACTGTTCTCATCCCTGTCACTGTAATTTGCGTTTGCCTGCTCTAGAACTTCACATAAAGGCTGTCACACAGTATGTGCTCATTCACCTCTGGCTTTTTCACTCAAAAGGATGTATTGAAATTCATATAAATGCAAGAATCAAAAGTGTATTCCCCTTTTTTGCTGAATAGTAATTATTGTCTGAATATATTATTATTTGTTCATTTACCTGTTAATGGACGTTTGAGTTGTTTCCACTTTGGAGCTAATAGGAATGAAGTTGTTATGAATTTTTTAAATTAGCTTTTAAAAGAATTTGCAAATGTAACAAAATATTCAAGGTCCCTTATGATTAGTGTTATGAATCTGAATATTAAATTACCGTTTTTCCAGGAATAATTTTTAAAGTAACAAATAATTTTGTAGTACTGAAATTTAAAACTAGGAAACAAAGATATTGTACAAAAGATCAGAGGCAGAATACAGAATAAGGGATGTTTGAGAATTGAAACACTTAAGGAGGCACTAAGAGAATCTTCACTGTCCTTGAAGTCTCTTCACAAGCTTTAATAGTCTGAGTCACACCGCTTTGTTTTCCAGAAGAGACAATGGTGGCCAAGGAACCACAAAAGAAGTTGTTCTATTTAGTTTTAAGTACTTTGAAGTGAAATTTGTCACTTTTCTAAGCCTGAATTGACTCAGCTCGACCAAGCAAACAATTGGTAAAATATAGGCCTGCCAACTACTTTCTCGCCTTTGCTCCTGCCCAGCTTCCAAGCCTTCTTGAGAATTCTCAAACTATTTCTAAAATTTGCTCTCTCTCACTTTTCAGTGTCACTGTAAGACCTTGAATCCTTTGCAAGGGTCTTAGAGGCTGGAAGTAGGTGTGAGTGTGTTGAGGGGGAGCTGCAGGCAGACACCCTTTTATCTATATAAAAAACCCTACTATGCAAATAGACTGAACAGTGGAACAGCCTAACAACCGGTTGCTATGATTGCGCTGACCACCAGGGGGCACGTGCGGAACATGGTGGGCATCGGCAGCAGGTAGCAGAGCACAGAACATGGCAGGCATCAGCCACAGTGGGATGGTGGAGCAGGTGAGGGGGAATGCCAGACCAAGGCAGGACACCAGTTGCTGTCAGGTTGCTGTCTTTGGGATGAGCCTCTGGTAGTTACTGAAAATTCTTTGCTCCTGCATGCCACACTCACCTGCTGCTGGCGCCTGCCCCACTTGCACCCGCTGCTGGCGCCGGAGCCTCCTCTTGCACCTGCTGCCAGCACCCAGTGCCAGCCCCGACTGCTCCTGAGGGCTTCTCCACCTCCCCCTATTCCTGAGGGGCAATCGGGGCAGCAGCCACCACCCACATGTGCTGGCGCCAGCCCCAATAGCTCTGAGCCGTCAGCACGTGGGAGTGGGAGCAGCAGCAGCGGGAGCCGGGGCTGCCAGCAGATGGGGCCACAGTGGGAGGGGCCAGGCTGGGGTGCAGAGGACCAGCCCCTGTGCCTACTGCAGCCTCACAGCCACAGTTCCTTTAAAGGTGCACGAATTCGTGCACTGGGCCCCTAGTATAATTTATATATTTGCCCTCTATTCATAAAAGTTTTTCAAAGGTTTGACTTTGGGGATCTGAACTAGAGGATGTCTTAGATCCCTTTATCTTGAAAACTCCACATGACTTGAAATTACATCAGTAGGGTTTTTTAGTTTGTTTTTGCTTCCCTGCATCAGAGGTCCATCCCAGGTGGCACACACCACCTTCACCTCTGGAAGCAAAACTACAACCCCAGCCTCCCTTGAATCTGGGGTGTACCCCCACCCCACCCTTGACTAGTGACACAAACTGGGTAGGAAAGGATCTATGTTGAGAGCAGCTGTGTCTGACTATCAATTGAGGCAACACCTGGTATCCTATGTCCAGTGCGGGCTCCTGGTATTGAGTATCCATTGCTCTGTGTAAGTCTGGCCATGAACCTACTAGTTGATTCACATTTGTTCCTGCCAGGTTCCAAGCCTCCTGGGTGCTCTCTGTTTATTAAATAAATTCCCTTTTAGCCTGAGTCAACTAGTTGTTTTCTCTAGCTTGCAACTGAAACTCCGTCACACCTAACTTCATCCACTGGACCATGTCCATGTCCAATGCCCTCCTAATTTGAGATCTTAGAAAATTGGTTTGTAAAAGTGAACTATTGCGAGCCACCATACACCTTGGCTGTCCCTCAGGACCACATGGACTGCCTGTTGGGCCAGCTGAAACTGAAGGGAAGATCCTGGAAAGAGTAAACCTGTTGGTTATGCAAATGTCAGTTTTCCTGTTAAAAGTGTTCATTGTTCACAGGTGGGGTGACCTTGGAGAGCTTCCCACTGTCCACCACTAAGTACTAAAAGGGCTCACAGTATGTATCTACCAGGATCTTGGAGGAGATGGTCTAGTATAGTGGTTGGCAAACTGGCTCGCGAGCCACATGCGGGTCTTTGGCCCCTTGAGTGTGGCTCTTCCTAAGCCTTAAGAGTCCCCTAATTAAATTAGTAACAAGGTACCTACCTATGTAGTTTAAGTTTAAAAAATTTGGCTCTCAAAAGAAATTTCAATCGTTGTACTGTTGATATTTGGCTCTGTTGACTAATGCGTTTGCCCACCACTGGTCTAGTAGAAACAGTGATGGTCATAACTTTAGCTCTGGTCTTGGCCTGTGTTCTCCCCATTAATATTAAATGACTCCCAGCCCAGTAAGGATCTGCTGAGAGAATGAGAGAATTCTGAGGCAACCTCAGGACTGCCTCTAAAAGAAAGTCAGTAGCTACTCAACAAAATGCCTAAGGCCTTCATCCAGTGACTGAATACTACACATTGTCTCCACATACGTCATTCTCCACCCACCTTCACGACTATTTCAGGCTTTTGCTAACTTTCATTTGTTGTGTCTCCATTTCTCCTCCAAACCACTGGTTCTCTGATTTTGACTTTTATGAAACATACATCAGTGGGCCACACCTTCAGAGTTTCAGAATTAATAGTCAGGGGTGGGACCCAAGAATTTTCATCTCACAAATTCCCCAGTGATGTAAATCGCACATTCATACCACTGCTCCAAACCATCCATTGCCCCAGAGTTTACTTCCCCAAAGATGTGGCAATGCTACTTCCTTCGCAAAGACTTTTCTAGATTACTATTGCCTAGAGAGTAAAAATCCTCACAGCTCAGAGGTAAAAGCCTTCACCATTTGGCTCCTACCTATTTTCCATTTTAATTATTTCATCAAATTGAGACTTGTTTTGTGCCAGGAACTCTAACAAGCCCTGTAGGCTTTGGGTCAGAGTTAAAAGCCTTCAAGACTCTTGGTCAACTGAAAAGGATTCTGCCAAGAGATCAAATAAATAAGGATTGAAAAACGTCCGTTGGATTTAGCAACCAGGAATTCAATGAGAATAGTTTTAATGGACCTTTGGGAGCAAAAACTGATCACAATGGATTGAAAGTGTGGATGGGAAAGTCAGATAGTGGATTTGGGGCATGATCTCTAAGAAGTTTGGTCATAAAGTGAAGCTGAAGTCAGAGAGGATGTGTCCAAAGTTGTTGTTCTTTTTTTTTTTCTAAGTTGGGAAATACTTGAAAGTGAATAAATGCTGAAAGTACTGATCTAGTAGAAAGGTTGAAGATAGAGAGGTAGCAATAATAAAAGGAGTACTGAAGAGATGGAACAGAATAGCACTCGTGATCTGTCAAAAGGGTTAGGATCGCCTCAGGCTTTGACACTGTCTGAGGGTAGGTCAAACTGCAGATGAATATTCTTGAGGGAGATTGGTTGTAGAGTAACATGAGAAAGTCCCTATCTGGCTGCTTCTATTTTGTATGAGTGAGAAGAAAAAGATGATGAGGTGAGAGACACAAGGGAAGTGGTGAATAGCTGCTTCCTGAGAAATGAGAGATGTCTTGGCTATAACAGGAAGGGTTGCTGGACTGCTTAGAAGGGGTGGAGGCTGAGGTCCATGACTCACTGTTGGTTGAGATGCTCTCAATTTGCGTTCAGATTTTGTTTCTTTAAGTAGAGACCGAGAAGGACCATTTTTGCAATTGGAGGAAACTCAACTGAGAGCACAACTGAAAATAGATGAGAATCTGAAACTTGGATAAATGTGCGGCTCCAAAAGAAAACTGGCAACACCTTTTACCCAAGAGATGAAATGTCAAGTGTCAGAAAAATAACAAGTATGTAAAGCTACTGCAAATACTGTATGGGTTATAGTGGTTGAGCATCGACCCATGAACCAAGAGGTCACAGGTGTGATTCCCAGTCAGTGCACATGCCTGGGTTGTGGGCTTGATCTCCAGTAGGGGGCGTGCAGGAGGCAGCCGATGGATGATGTGATGATGTTTCTCTCTCTTTGATGTTTCTGTCTCTTTCTCCCTCTCCCTTTTTCTCTCTCTCTCAAAAAAAAAAAAAATCAATAAAGACATTTTAAAAAGTACTGTATGAGGAAAAATGAATTCTGTAGCTTTAACAAACATAGGCAATAATTTCAAGCGAGTATTTTTATTCATCCTCTCAGGCTCCACGGGCACGGTGGGCTAAGACTGTTTTGAAGGTCAAGCCCTTACAAATTAGCAGAGAGATGTGGGGAAGTACCTAACCTAGATAAAACGAGGTTAAGAGAGG